ACAACATTTTTGTGCATCCGGCGTGCGGGAAGTCCGCGCAGGGCGCGGGTATTCCCTATCTAAAAACTATAGCTAATAGTCCTATAGTCCCAGGCTCTAGATCTTGAGGATGTTGTGCTCTGGCTAGGCATTGGATACTCGGGCTCCTCCGCTCCCGTTGTCCGGGGCGTCGGTTCCCTTTCTCGTCTGCTTTGCCAGGGCCTCCTCAAGCCGCTGGATGGCCCTTCGTTGTGTGTTTAAGTCTTGGGAGCGTATCCATGCTCCCACCTCATCGGGATACGTGGCGTCCTGGCACTGCCCATTCCCATTGTTCACACCACTGTTACACCCGCCCCACATGATGTGGCGGAGGGTGGCTAGTTCACGTTCGCACGCGCTACACTTAGCGTCCACAAACATGTCGGGGCATACGTGCCGGGCCAATGCTGGCGTTAGCACGCATTCCGTTTGCAGTTGTCGGAGCTTCACTGCTTCCGCACGTGACAGTTCACGATGCGGGGGCGGAAAGGCTCTCCTGGCCTCTCTGTAGGCCGCCAGGATCCCTCCGTAGTCGGTGAGGGGATCGAGGTCTTCTCGTTCTTCACCGCTGGTTTCAGGGAGACGGGCTGCCGCGGTCCGGCACGTGATGAGATCACGGGCCACAGCGTCCGCCTCCTCGTTGCGGTTCTCGATGTCGGGAGCCAGGTGTCGTCCCATGTGGGCTGGGAACCATTTGAGGGCGATGGTTGGTCCTACAGCGGCGCCGCGAGCAGCCCGCGAGGCCGCGATGGACGTCACTAGCCGCTCCGTGCCCCGCCAGACCATGCCTCGGGCAAAATTCCTAATTGCCTGCTTTGAGTCGCTTAGCACCGTGCGCGTGCCCGGCCTACCTGTGGCCAGGGCTATCGCCGCCTCCTCTGCCTGGCCGGCTGTTCGGGCGCGCACGGTGCTTGCTGTTAGTAGTTTACCGGTAGTGGCGCTGACCACCACTGCTGCGAAGGCGTTGCGTCTTCCCGAATATCTTGCGGCATCCACGTAGACTGCGCCCTCGTCTCTCTGATGTTGACGGGCCAGCGCCACTGCTCTCGCCGCTCGCCTGCCCGCGTCCCTTTCTGGGTCCATGTTCTTTGGCAGCGGGTAGACAATGATTTTCCTCGCTGCCTCATCGCTCAGGGGGACTTGCTTTTCTAGCTCCCTGTCCGGTCCTGCGCCCGGGCGTTCTCCAGGAGGTAATAATCCTACCCGATCGAGTAATCCTCTGCCCGCGGCTGTGTCGCTCAGGCGGCTCAGCTGCGAAGCTCTCTGGGCCTCGCTGATCTCCGAGAGCGTGTTGTGTGTTCCCAGAGACAGCAAGGCCGTTGTCTTTGTGCCTGGTAGGAGCCCAAGAGCCCCCGCGTAAGCCTTCCGGATGGCAGCGTCGATCTTGGCTCGTTCCGCGCCGGTCCAGCGGTGAAAGGCCCCCGCATATGCCGCGTGGCTTATAACGAAAGCCTGCAGCAGATGCAGGAGCCCCCTCTCTTTCATGCCCCGGTAGCGGGACGACATTCGCTTGACCAGGCGCGCTGCGATGCCCATCTTGGTTGTGATGTTCTTGACCGCCGTGGCGTTGGTTTGGGTGCCGTCCACGAACATCCCCAGGACTCGAAGCCCCGGGACGTGCGGGATCTGCATACCGTCACTGGTGCGCACGATGATGTTCTCGGCCGCCTCTCGACTTGCCTTCTTTCTGTGCCTCCCAGGTGGTGGCAGGATGAGTAGCTGTGATTTTTGTGGCGAACACCGCAAGCCCGTGCCCAAGAGTGCGGACTCCACGGCGTCCACCGCCGCCTGCAGACCCGCCTCGATGTCTCCGTCGCTTCCACCCGTGGCCCAGATGGTTACGTCGTCGGCGTAGAGGCAGTGTCGTATCCCCGGGCCTAGCGCCTCCAGACGCCTGGCCACCTCGATCATGACAATGTTAAACAGGAACGGGGAGATGACCGAGCCTTGTGGGGTCCCGACACTGCCCAGCTCTCGTTCTTCGAGCTTCGTTCCTCCCACCTCCAGCCTGGCCGTGCGGCGAGAAAGGAAGGCTCTGATGTAGTTGTACGATCTTGCGCCCAGCCCCAGGCGGGACACCTGAGCCAGGACCGACGAGTGTCTAACGTTGTCGAAGGCGCTTTGCAGGTCCAGGCCAAGATCGCTCGGTTGTCATTCTTTGGAGTCCCGCCCGGTGGGTCAAGGACTTCTCGTTGGATCAGGAGCATGGCGTCTTGAGTTCCCAATTTGGCCCGGAAGCCAAGCATTGAGTCCGGGTAGACATGGTGCGCTTCCATGTAACGGTTCCACCGGGTGTTAAGAACGTGCTCCAGTACCTTTCCCACGCAGGACGTGAGCGAGATGGGACGCAGGCCCTCTATACCCGGTGGCTTGTTTGGTTTTGGCAGCAGGATCGTCTTTGCTGTCTTCCAGGCCTTGGGCAGCTTGCCGTTACGCCAGCATTCGTTGTAGTAGCGTGTCAGTGATGTGATGGCTGAGTCACTCAGGTTGCGTAGAGCTTTGTTAGTAACTCTGTCGGGTCCGGCGGCCGAACGACAGTTCAGGTCCTGGGCCGCCTGCCTCACTTCCCATTCCTCTAGATCTCGGTCGAGGTGGAGGTTCGGCTGGCCGGCGTAGTCTGGGTGATCTTCGTGACTGGTGATGGGGAGGTAGCGCTCGTTGAGTCGCTTGAACATCTCCTCTTCGCCCAGTTGACGAGCGGTGGTGTGTAGAATTTGGGCCATGCGTGTACGTTGGTATTCACAGCTCTTGGTCTCATCCATCAGTTGCCTGAGGAGTTTCCAAGTGCCGCCACGGTGAAGCTGTCCATCAGCCTGGCTGCAGAGTGCAAACCACTGCTGTGAGCAGAGCTGCCTGCTGTGTCGCTCGATCTCTCGGCCGAGTTCTGCGATCTTCTTTCGTAGCTTTCTGTTGTGACGTTGCCGCCGCCAACGCTTTTGGAGCGAGCGCCTGGCTTCGAGGAGGTGGGCTAGTCTCGGGTCCATACAGACAGTTCTTGGGATTCATTGCACTACCATATTCAGCTATCACCATAACTCTCTCTTCATATTTCTTTCCTTTCTCGATTTACCCGTGCGGAGAGTAACAGGCTAGAAACTCCCCTTGAAAGCCTACATCTGCTCCTTTCTCGTCAAGAAACATTTACTTTTCTTTTTGTAAGTAAATTTTTCCAGTGTGTGTGTTTGCTTGCAGGGGCCTTTTAATACAATTAGCTCCGTGAAGAATCCACTTACTATTTTAAACAGTTAAGGCAACTGAATAGCTAGGATTTTTTTCTTTTTCTTTCAGCAAAAGCATGATATTCACTCAGAAGTGGTTTCTGGGCGCTCATGTGCGGCCGCATGTAGTTTCATTGTAAGCATACATGGCTACACAGATATTTGTGAAGTAGCTTCTCCAGGTTTTCCAGCCCCTGGCTACGCTCCTTCGCACCTCGAGAGTAATTAAGTCAAGTTGACCACATCACTATTGCGCTGTTTTTTTTTTCAACTCATACATATAACTATAAGTTATGAACTGTCATACCTAGTGACTATATAACTGCAAATATATGATGAATTTAGGATGATAGATTCCCTCAAAACTGTTGCTGTAGCTCTGCCTTCGCAACTTGAAAGCTTTTAAAGGCGAAATTACAGCCCCAACCTTCGGGAAAATTTCTGGACACGCCTTTACCAAATTTGTCGTAAAGTAGATAAGACATAGTTTTCAATGATTCTATTTTTCGTCTACTTGGACATTGAGTCATGTACACGGTATTAAAGTTGTCCACCCGAACGCGCACAGCTTAAGCCACGTTGGCGCTTGCGAAGAATCTCCTCGCTATTTTTGCTATCACTGCACGGTCCAGGTTCACTACCCGCAGTTTTTTAAAAGCCACGTATGACTTCGTATTGAAATTCCTGCCGAAGCCTGATTATTACATCCCCTAAATACATACCACACCTAATACATAGTTTTTTTCCATAAAATTTTGTGGTGCTGTCGTATTTCTGTCTGAGCACACTGATAATTTTGCGCTCCCATTCTGCGTATGGCCCGGTTGCACAATAAAATATAATTAAATGAATATGTTATTGGAGTCTCCCTAACGTAAGTGTGTTGGCAACTTCAGGTAGATTCTATGTTCAGTACTCGAAGAGTTGATGAAATATTATGGGACATATTGCGGCGGCGGAAAGGGCGCAGCACTTCGGGAGAGCGACAAAGTTCGAACAAATGACGCTCGACACCTCACCAGAGATGCACTCGTGCCTCAAAACGTGGACACCTAGCGTCGCGTAGCGGGTGGCAGGAGAAAACGCCACACACGCCATTTGGCACACGACCAACACAAAAGGCGGAAACCGCGACAGTCCATAATTTCACGCTTTCACAGCTATTGGTCGCAACAGTCTAACCGTGGCGCCGAATATTATTACCACCCAGAACGCGAAACTAGACCAGCAACGTGCTACAACAGATTGCGCATACTGCATCGATTATGGAGTACGGTATCGCCTCGTCATTTGGCCTACGTGAAGGCACGCAGATGCTCGAGCATCTGAGAGCGGTGACGTCGACGCTCTGACATGATCTCAACGATCGCGAACGACGACGCAGCGGCAGAGAGCGCAAGTTCAGTCGCGCACGAAAGCGCCGAAAATAAGCCACGCAGAAAATCGATACTGTTCTGTAATGAACGAGCCGCAGTTTCGCAGAAGAAGTGCACGAATGGTGATGCTTCTCAACGTAACGTTTTAGCTGTTAACATCTGTTGAAAAACTTTGTAAATGTAGCAGACGTTTTTAGTCCAAAAATTTTTGTTTTAAGTTGAAACTGACCTACTCTTTTGCTACCCATCATCACCGTCGGAGCAGAATGCCACCAGTCAAATCGTCATCGCAGCAAGCAATATATTTTTGACTCGTAAGTGTACATAAGTAGATGAGATTCGCATTTCGTTGTATTGATATTAGAGAGCTTGAAACAGATGCTCGGCATGCGCCCGTTGTTTGCTTGGCTGGCATGGCTTGTGTGTGGCGTTCGTAATAACAGGCGCTCTCTGTGCCCCACAGTCGAGTGCGAGGCACGGCTGTAGGCGTAAAAAAAAAGTCGGTCTAAAAAAAATTACCCTCTTTGTTCTCTCGGTGAAATTTGTGTTTATGGATTGCATGCGGTCGTATATCGCTATGAAAACATGGATGCGGCGCATCATTTTTGAATGGGCGCTGGAGGCGGGCGCTCACGTGCGCTCGCTTGAGGCGGTTGTGATCGCCTTGTGCGATGCCACGGCACGGGTCGCTGTGGTCACTTCGTGTGGTCAGTCATTAGCGAGCTAAATTAAAATCGACGTTAAAGGTCGCGCTTCGGCGCTGTTATTAATATTCGCCCGGTGTCGCACGCGGTTCGGCGCATTGTTTAGTTTCGTTTTTGGTGTACGCTCGCGGTCGGTGTGAGCACTTCGGCTCCAAAAGCAGTCATGCTGAACGGAGGCGCAGGTGCGAATGTCCATTTTGCGCCCGCGTCGGACCGTGCCTATCGACAGCGAGCAGGAAAGAGAAGCGTTTGCTCTTGTTTCGCGACGGCGTTGGTTTCTTGTGGTGCACGACTATTTGACGAGCGTTACGCCGCGTAAAATTCGGTATTATTGTCGAATTCGTGCCGGATCTGCAAATGACATGCCGAAAAAGAAGCCCTAAGAGTGATTTTTTTTTTTTCGTGCGAGATTTGACCACGCGATAACTGCTTCCTTGAGCCATGGTTTAAACGGTTTGCCGCACAGATTTCGCCCAGGTAAGTGTGGTTTCTGGCATCTAAGCGAGATGCGTCTTCTATATATATATAAAAAAAAGCTCGTGCGGCATTCTTAAAGTAGAGATTGTCCAGCGAAATAAGTTCCGAACGCGCGCGCTATCAACGCATTCTAGAAGTGTTGCGTGATTCCTCGTTTATATATATTGGTTTTATCACCGCCTGCAGATTTCGGAGGGCATGAACATTTCCTCTGGCTGCCTCGGAGCGCCTGACGTTTCCGATTTCTCTCACGCGCAGAAACTGCCCGTCGGCTGCACGCGGCGCAGCCAGGATGGCCCTGCAATACGTGTGCCCCCTATGCCCGTACGAGACCCGGGCACGGGGCATCCTCTACCGACATTTGCTCATACACACCGGTGTTAAGCCGTACTGCTGCGAGAACTGCGGCCGCCGGTACGCCCTGCCCGAAACACTGCTCGAGCACATGGCGGCCCACCGCAGGGAGCCGCCGTACCAGTGCGGCCGATGCACGATGGCACTTGACCACTTCTCCGAGTACCTGAGGCACCAGGTGTACCACATGCTCAAGAGCATCCACCGGTGCTCCTTCTGCGGCGAGGGCTTCGTCTGGAAGCAGGCCCTCAAGCACCACTCCAAGACTCACAAGGAAGGCAAACACCTGTTCCACATGTTCTTTCGGAAGACTGCGGGAAGGCGGACCTCAACTCGGTACCAGAATGAGAACGACATGCCCTTGGACCTCAAGATGAAGGTACCCGTTCAGACAGGCAAGGGATCTCAGGACTGTCCCATGGACATGAAAACTGGCAACGGCTTGAGCAGGCTTGCTGAGCAGGACAGGTCATCGGGTTACAGTCAGCAGCCTTCCCTCCAACCACCTCCGTTCGGCAGCCTCCTCACGCCAGGAGGCCCATCACTCCTCGACAGCTACTTCAAGTTCTACATGTACCCACACCTTGGAACACCCCTGCCCTACCAGAATGGCGCGAGCCTGCTGTCGCCTGTGTTGCGCGCCTCACCCAATGGCCACGAGGACGAGGACATGCTGATGGAGTCAGGCCTCTACATCTGTCGGGTGTGCGGCTGGCAGTTCACCAAGGTGAGCCACCTAACGGCCCACATGTACATCCACACTGGTCGCAGGCTTCACAACTGCGACGTCTGCGGCAAGAACTTCACCCGCAAGGGCTCGCTGAAGCTGCACCGACTGCAGCACCATGAAACAAAGCCACACCAGTGTGACATCTGCCACAAAACTTTCTTGCAGGCTCGCTACCTCCGTGCCCACCTGCTTGTGCACCGCCGGCAAGATGCCACCTCAAGACCTCCAGAGCCAGAGCCCGTGCCCAAGCGCCTGGACGTACCTGTGGTTTCACCAGTGTTCCAGGCTTCCTTCCAAAGCATGCTTCACACTCCGGACGTGGGGCCGACAGAACCGGAGGCTGCCGAGTCTCCCGAGTCGTCCGGCAATGCGCCGTCGTCTGCTCATCGGTGCCCCATTTGCCAGAAGGGCTTCTCACAGCCGTACAAGTTGCGCCGCCATCTGGTGATTCACGCCAGCCCCCGCATTCACCAGTGCAACATCTGCCAGAAGGTGCTGCCCTCGGTGACGGAGCTGCGAAGCCACAAGAAGCTGCACGGTCGAGCCAGGCAGCACTGCTGCGAGTATTGCAAGAAGGACTTCTCGTGCTCATCCACGCTGCGGCGCCATGTGCGCATCCACACAGGCGAGAAGCCCTATCAGTGTGAGGTGTGCCTCAAGCGCTTCTCGGACCTGTCCAACAAGAACTGCCACATGCGTACGCACACGGGTGAGAAGCCACACCGTTGCCAAGTGTGTGGCATGCGGTTCTCCCTAAAAAATGCCCTCAGCTGCCACATGCGAAACCACATGGTCTGAGTCGGGCCACTTTTGACGAAGGCAAACGCCTTCTTGCACACACTGATCACATTCTTCTCGAAGCCAGTTGCAGTGCTCTACACTGTAAATGCTCTCACTCATAGCAGCTTGCAAAGATGAGTTAACGGTGTGCTATGCTTGTATTTGCTGCTCCTGGGATACCGAGAAAAAAAGATAGATCTATTAACACTCATACGTAGGACTTATATTTCTGTAACGCCAACAGGTGCAAGATGAGTTTATTTTAAGTTCATAAATGAAGCAAGGCATAGCAATCAGTTCTGCGAAGACCCTCAAGGCAGAGGGTGGGTAATGAATAACAACACTGACATTCATCCACTTGTAGCATGAAACTGAAAAGGAAAGCGGGATATTTAGAATGCTTCACAATCGAAGAAACAGTTGTTCTGGTGTTTAATGTCTCCTTGCAAGAGTTAAACCTAAGTGACAAAGGCATTTAGCACATAACGCCGTTTACTTCAACAAAGAGGCCAAATAGCAAATTAGTGAAAACTGCATGTGCTGCTAGGAAACATATTTGTGTTTCGATTCTGAAGGTGTCTAGGCTTGTTTTCCTTTCTCTCTGCTCTTTCGTTGTCATATAAAGCAGCTTTGAGCAACTAGCTTCATTATGGGAACCCTTGTGGAGCGAAGTTTTGCAATCAAGTCCATGGGCCAAAATATGTAGTGAGACATGACCCCACGTTTCCGTTGTGCGCCTCATGTGATGACGAAGCAGTGAACGGTGTTTAGTGTCTGTCAGTAAAGCAGGTGATCGCTCTTTAAAATTGACCTGTAGTGAAGTTTAAAGGACTCGTGCTTGGTAAAGAACATACAGCAGAAAGTAGATGCAGTTGTAAACAGCTCAGTGAAATCTTTCAGTTGGCCCCGTCACAGTGGTCTAGTGGCCAAGGTACTCGGCTGCTGACTCGCAGGTCGCAGGATTTAATCTCGGCTACGGCAGCTGCATTTTCAATAGAGGTGAAAATGCTGTAGGCCTGTGTGCTCAGATTTGGGTGCACGTTAAAGAACCCCAGGTGGTTTAAATTTCAGGAGCCCACCATTACGGGGTCTCTTGTAATCATATGGTGGTTTTGGGATGTTAAACTACACATATCAATCATCATTGATATCTCGAAGTTGTGTGATAAAGACAGTTTAGAAATAGAGTGCTGATAAGCCACCTTCTCAACCAGCCACTCTTCACACAGAGGCTCATTCTCGTTCTTCTCAGAGCTGCTGATGGATGCTATATTGCATTACCACTGGAGGCGCGAGGGCTGCAAAATCTGTGACATGCAGAGTTGGATCACATGGTCTCGCCTCACTCTCACGAAGGAAAGCTGGCAGCTGGATGCATTGTTTTTATCAGCCGCAACTTCGCGATGTTTTCGTTTAAGAACAGTGTTGTTTTGTTCTCACTCCACTTTTGCAGACTTCTGCAGACTGCACAATCTGGACTCTTGTAGTAAATGTTATAGTGCGCTACATACGCTATGCCACTGTCACGGTCGCTGGAAGTGCCACTGCCGCCTCTCTTTGTTTTTGTTGTTATTTAAAGCACATGGGGTTATAATGAGCACCGACCACTAATGTTCACTTAAAAGCGGAACGTTTCAGCATGGGAGCCCCATTGACAGTTAAAAATGAATCTGCAAGCAGTTCGACGATGTTTACTTCAAAATATGACATACGTGCGTACATATGAGGGAAGTCGCCGTCATTACACTTTAAAATGGGGGCAGTTGTCTGAATTGTTAGTTAAAGCCCAGAAATCCTGTTATTTTCCTGTAATTTCGGTGAATTTGATCCTATTTCAGTCTATTTCGTGGCCAGTTGCGTCTGGGTGTTGAGCCAGCTTATTCAACGAATACCTTTCTTACATCACACATGTGCCGCTCCAGTCTTTGCTAAAGCTTACTTCTCTCGCCAAGGTAACTTTTACCACAGTCTGCGCCACACTCCTCTCGGGTGTCCATCCCTATGTGTGTACTCGACCACACGGGTTTCCACCTGCGCACCAAACCGGTGCCCCCCCCCCCGAAATTTTTACAGTCGACCACATCTGTCTGCCCGGCCCCCATTTGTAAACAAGGTGTTGCCCCCCCCCCCCCCCCCCCCAAGGAAAATTTCTGCCTACGCCGCTTTTGTGGACGACTTCAGATCACAGGGTCCCTTGCTTGTACATAATGCAGAATGGGCCCATACACTGTCACTTCTCAATGTTGTTTAGATCTACAGGCAAAAATGCGGTCAACTTCAACAACTCATTCATCTTCCAACAACCACTGTTAAATGCCACACAGCTTATGAATGAAGCTGTGAAATAACTAGACACAGGCATCTTTATTGGAACTTAAAATTGCCGTTTGTTGCTGCCGCCGCAGTTGTCCCTAACCGCTATCACACAGAATAAGGAAAAAAAACCCAGTACCAAGAACACACTGGGGCTCGAACCCGGGTCCGGGGCATGCTAGCCCAGTATTCTACCACTGAGCCACGCCGGTGCTTGGAACTTGTTTGCAAACTTGCCTTGGGCAGGTTTAATGTCGGTAAAGGAATGGCGTTAATATGAGTAATAAAGCGTTTTAGAACAGCGAAACAACAACCAGGCATCACACAATGCGAATAGCGTAACAAGCAGGTCGTATAATGCTCCAACCAATTACAAAAGCTTGTTTTTGTTCCCCTATTAACTGCGGCGCATACCCACTTCAGGCATAATTCCTGCATAAACAATTGGCACAAAATTCCTTGCAAGTGTTTAGCGGGCACCACGCTTCTGAGAAGATTGTCGAAGGACAGGCATAATTCCTCATCGTCATCAGCCACTGCATAAACAATTGGCACAAAATTCCTTGCAAGTGTTTAGCGGACACCACGCTTCTGAGAAGATTGTCGAAGGATAGCTTAGGGAATTCTGGCCTACTAGCCAGAAATTATTATTATTATTAATACTGTAGTGGGTACCCAGCAAGTGTGCTAGCAGCAGTCACCAAATGAGTGTTTATAGAAGGCTCTGAAAGGCTGCTCTTCTAGCTTTCGCTGTGACTGTTCTGCCCCTTCCATGCAGGCCTGGCGTTTTTTATCACAATTTACCCCTTTGTAGAAGCTGTGGACCTGAGCCGATCATATTTTCACCATGTGTTGCTCCATGGTGATCGAACGCACACCGTGTGACAACAGTGTAAAATTTGCGCAATAGATGTTAGGATCGTGCCACAGAAAAACTTTTCTTCGTGTGAAATTTTACCTGGTTACAACTCTGAATGAGGCACGCGTGTGCGCGTTACTCTTGCGTTTTCTCGCAATCATAACAGAAAGTTTGCTGTTACATACGGTTGTAAGAATGCTGTGTTGCTTCTCACTAAGCGGGAATCCACTTCCGCTGTGCTTTGTAAGACTGTGTGCTCAATGAAAAAAAATTTTAATTTGCGCATGCTTGTATCAACCACGGCCCGTTTTTGGATGCAAACCTACAATGACTGAAGTAGCATGGTTTCACACATTTCTTGCTGCGAAAATAATTCTTTTTGCTGCAAGCACGTTTTTATACCCATTTGATGTTTCAATTCGACAAAGAATGAGTCGCTACGTTTTCAAAAGCAGTTTGCTTGGCCCCTGTGGTTTTCATATTGGTGGCCATGGCAGATGATGCCGGCAAGCAGACATTATTAGAAGCATAAAATTTTCCGGAGCAGTTATGTAAGGAGAGAAGCTGCAGCAGTTTTTTCCAGATTTTTTTTAGTGAAGTACCACAAGTATAGTAAGTAAAAAAAAAGACATTGGCTGTGGGCTGCTCACGAAAGGGCGGCGGAGTAGTCCAACCACGCACATCACAGCGACGCCTCCGCATGGTGGCGCCACGGCATGTCCTCATGCACAATACAGCAGATTGCTGCTATTGGTCAGCAGCTGGCTTAAGCTCAGAGTAGTGTATACATGAGATAGACTTCTTGCCATAAAGTGTTGCATCGTGCCAGTGCTATGATGCGGAAATCGGTGATATGCGGAGCACGAATAAGGAAGGTTGATATGTCATTTTAAAATCAGCACAATGTTACAAGGTCGACGTAAATTATGCCATACATGACTTCCATGTCATGATTATCATGTTTGGACGTGTTGTTTATCTTCGTCGTCTATTCACGCCAGGCGATGCCAAATTTGCTATATGTAGAGCTAGCGAAAAAGCCGTGAGAACTTTGTGAGCATAGCATGTAGTCAAGTTTTACATGACACGCATGTCGTGATTATCCTGTTTAGACGTATCGTTTACTTTCGTCGGCTCCCCATCATGCTGGAAAATCCACAGCCAGTATACTTGTGCTTGTACTTTTATACTGGCAGGTCATGGGCACTTATGGTAGTTTCGAATAATTGTTTCTTTGCCAACTTAGGGTTTGGCAACCTTTTCAGGCAGAGGGTCAAGTTTCACGAAGCCAGCACATCAGATGGTAAATTGGTCGTGGATGGGGGAGGAGTGCAGGAGCGCTTTGCAGACAAAGACGAAAAGTTCGCCGAATCGGCAATATTTTACAAAACTAGATAAGAAATCATGTTTATTTTCAGCACATATGTCGCAAAGTTACAGCCAAACTATTTAACAAGCAAAAATGCGATTTTAGATCACAACCGTCTTGCCGGCTTTCATGTAAGAAGTGATGAGGCAAGGAGGGAGGGGTTCGGCATCATGCCGAGGGCCGCATAGTACCGCCCAGCAGGCATTCGGCTACGAACCGTTGGTCTAAGATGTTCCCGATAGGCCTGTTTTGTTGGACGGTTGAAAAAGGAGTGTGCCGTCTGTAATAGAACAGTCCTTTCAAAGGCCAGATGCAGATTGGCACACTGAGTGGCAGTCCTATTTCAACAGTCGCAGCGGCGGAGTAACCTGGTTGGTCGATCACTTGGGCCCATTCATTCCTATGGTTGCACTTGATAATGGGAACTGCTTGCGGTAATAATGAAAATTTCTGCAGCATTGCTATTGCCTTGACATGGTGTATATCAGCCCATCTGGAATTGGAGAGCTTTTTTTCAAGTTGTGTCTAAAACATTTGCAGCTGCACTGTCTGAAAGCATTTGCAGTTGTGCTGGGCTTCCAAGAGCATCGGTCTAGAAAAAAGAAAAAAAAAAGTAAACAGAAGGTTATAGATGTACGCATTGCAGTCCCACGCTGTAGCAAGGGAGGATGTGTACATGTCAGTGCTCTATCTAAGTGGTACAGCCTCAATGTTCGTTTTTCATGTACCTGAATAAGGTTGCAAGACAAACAGCTATTTTTTCTCTTTCCCTTCTCCAATACGTCACTGTACCCCCACCCCCTTTTCTTTTTCCCTTGAATGTTTCGTTTTTTCCCTGTGGTGGTTTCTTGTGTTGTATTTTGTTAAATGCATTATTTTTGCTTTTAGGCATTGACTGCTACTTTTGCCGCTTGAGTGACTTATGTGGCTTGGTAGCACCTGTTGAAAGAGCGCTGAACGAACAAAAAAAGGCAGAAGATGAAACGTGATTTCATTTTCCCGGTGCAGTATTCATCTGCTATGTCACGCTACATCATACCTTGTCTGCCATTTTGTTTCTTTTTTAATGAATTTTGAAACATCCTGAACAACCTCTACCATTGGTGCATGATAACTGTGCACCGAGCTGTTTCTGCTTTGAAATGTTGCTCAAGATATTCTTGGCTAGCATCTAGTTTTTCATGATTTCAAAAACATTCTAATTGTGTTGTGCATACTGCGACTACTCTTACTTTGCATTGTCGTTCCACTGTGAGGACGACAGCAGCTGAATATATCCGCTTTTTTTAGTGGTGAGTCCCACAATTAGGTTTGGTTTATTACTACGAAGCATACACACTCAAGCTGTAGCAAGCCACCACG